TATATTGGACGAATATATATATATTCAAGTCAATATGAAAATAAATATGAACATAAACTAATCAAAATTTTGCAAAAGAGTCCCAGTTAAAAAAAAAAATAAATCTGTCTTCATATGAAAGAAAAAATGAAAGCTGAATATCCTCGGAATTTTAGATTTATTGAATGAAACTCTGTTCAAATTAACATTTGAACAGACTCTGTTATACAAGATAATACATATAAATATTTTTTCTAATTTCTACATGAAATTTTTAATTTTACTTGTGAATTTTTTGTTTTAATTTATTGAACATCTGTTCTACATTCTGAAATAAAAATCTATATTCTACAAAAACAGAATCTGTTCTAATATATATATACATTTAATAAACACACTTTGTTCTAATTTCTACATGTGAACACTCTGTTCTAATTTCTACATGTGAACACACTTTGTTCTAATTTCTACATGAAATTTGTTAAAGTTCCTACATTGAACGCACTTTCTTTTTGAACATTTTTTTATTCCTACATGTGAACACACTTTTATTAATTTTTGAAATTATAAATTTTACATGTGAAAAACTTTTTTTTTTTTATGCTATTATTTGTTCTAGTTAAAATACATGTGAAAAATACTTTGATCTAGTTTCTAACATAGAACAGATTCAATTTTAGTAAATAATGTTTTTTACACACATTTTCTAATTTTAAATGTTCACATTTTGTATTAAGGTGATTACATTAACTTTTGGTTTCTAATTTCTATTTATTTTTATCAACATCTTTTTGTTTTTTATTTTATCTAATAATTAATTATAGGTCTGACTTCTAAATAATTCAAAGAGGAATTCTACATTCATTAAATTATACATAAATATATTCACAAAGATTATTTCATTCTTTAAATTTTTGTATATGAAAAATGGATATTATTTTTATCCATATGTAAAATTTTTGCCAGCATATGTAATTTTATTTCATATTCTTTTTAAAATTACCTAGTTTTTTTTTACAATGGTGTTCCTTTGGCCCAAAGAGTCATTTTCTCGAAAACTTGTTAAATTATTTATGAAGCTTATGCGGATATGTGTTGAATCTACAGTTAATTTTTGGAAATTTTTTTTATTTTAAAAAATTTTTTTTTTCATATTTTGTTTAAATGGAATTAACTTGGCCAATTATGCTTGAAAATAACTTTAAATCTCACCAGGGTTTAAATAAAAGAAGTCATTTAGAACTGTTCATTTTTGCACATGGCGGGTCTTAATTGTGACTAAAATTTAATAAAGCAGTGTTTGGAAAATCTGAAAAGAACAGTTATTTTAAACATGGACATTTTTGACTGACACATTAAAAGAAAAAAAAAAAATAAAAAGAGTTCTTGAAATACTTTTAAGTATTTTAATTCAGTATACGTAATCTAGAATAGGACTAATAAGGACCACTGAATTTCAAGTGATTAAATTACTAAATCTAAAGTTAAACTTAAAATATTTCTTAATTCTATATATGTATAATTAAATTAGTATTTTTAAAATATTTGAGTGTATTTGGGTAAAAAAAATAGCACCTAATTATTTAAATTCGTATTTAACAGGAAGATAAAAGCTAGTTCATCCCTTAAAGACAATGTTCATTAAAAAGAAATTAAATTTCAAAAACATTAAATTTTTTAATTTTTTTGCTGTAGTATTTAAATTTTTTTCTCAAAATACTTATCATTTACAGTAATATTTTAAAATATAATATATACAGAATAGATTTTTTTAAAATCATGTCAAAAACAAAAACGAAAAATTATAAATTTATACAGTAGATAAATATAAATATAGACGTTTCATTAAATAATAAAGACAAATGTTGTCTATTTATTTTATGTAAATTTTTTTCGTAACGTCTGATAAGTTTAATAACATTATTGTTGAACGAAGAAAGAAATTCACAATATTGATCCATATTTTTTAAACAATCTAAGCTTTCGTTTTACTAAATATAAAATATAAATATAAATTTATGTATAATTATATAAAGAAATATATACATGTAAGATAAACATTTTCGGTTACATATCCATTCGGTTAAATGTCCGTCGGCCAAATGTCCGAGAACCAAGCAGTTTAGTTCATCTGAACACTCACCATGGAAATAATAATAATAATAATAATAATAATAATAATAATAATAATAATAATTGAAGGGATTCCTGGAAGTTCATGCTTAAGGAGATACAAAAAATTGTTCTGACAAGTACAGCCCACACCTTACGAAGGGCTTTATCTATGTAATTTAATTTTTTTTTTGTCAGTGGAAAGTGTCATGACGCCATTTCTAACCTTAGGTCCCTGGGCGGCACTCGGAAAGAAATGTGTAAACGCCAGAAATCAAAATAATAATAATAATAATCCTATTATAATTGTGAATGTTCTTTCCGTCACTAGTTGTCACGACGTTTATTCCCTGTCAATAACTTATAAATAATAAATTAATCCAGTATTGATTGCGTAGAAAGAGGAGAAAAGACATTACTTGATTTCTATGAGAAAATGAATGAACGAAAGAAAGAAAAAAGAGAGATATAATTCAGATTATGTTGTTAAAAACAGATACCAAACTTTGATCTTAGCCAAAAGGCCGAGAAGCCAATGTATTTTCTTGCCACCACACGCTAGCTGGATGTGGCACAAAATCAGTTTAATGTGGGAAGCAGTGTAGTTCATCTGAACACTCACCATGGAAATAGCGATGGAGTAACGAGAGGCTTGGGATGTTTCATCTGTCAAAAAAAGGAGTTGTGGGCGTGGAAAAGGACGTGAGACACTTTCGGACTTTATCGATAGTGGAAAGTGAAAACTGGGCAGCTCCCGCCCGTATATGATAGCAATACGCCATTTTCGATCTGTTCTGACTATTGTGAAGATAGCGGCTATCATTGAAAAGTCTAGTAGTTTTAAGATAACAAATTATTACACCACTGCATCGTCGAATTATAGCCAGAATCCATTATGAGTAAATTCCAAATTTAGCTCCACGATGACGCAGAGCAATACAGAATGTCCCGTTAATGGTGCTATGAATTTGTAAGAATGAAATGTTTTCTCGAAAATTCTGGTAACTTTCGCATCAACATAATAATTAGAAGAGTGTGTGTGCGTGCGGCCTGTTGGTTAAGCTCGTGCGTTTGTGTTGGTGGTGGTGCCGGGGTGTATTCTGCTATTTTCTCGCGTCCCGGAGCTAAGCTTTGGTTTTCTGTAACGCTTGATAAATTTTTACAGGCATTAAAAAGAGGGAGAGGGGAGCAAAATCAAAAAGGGAAATAAAGAGAGAAAACAGTTGAAGAAAAGAAAAATACGTAGAAAGGCAATAAAAATAAAAGTTTCAATTTCCTGTATTCTAACTTTATTTCAGTGATTCATATTGCAAGTTCTTTTTTTTCCCCTGTACGAATGTGTTTTTTTTTTATTATATTGATACATCCAATCACCTTCGCTATATTATTTGTTTATCATTATTGCTTAAATAATAATAATAATAATAATAATAATAATAATAATAATAATAATAATGTTCTAATGAAAGCAATCAGTTAATCACGATAAGAGGCTCTACTAATAACGAGAGTGATAACTGCCAGGGTTTAAAAATAATGTTGCTCTAATAATATTACATCTATAACATTGTTCTAATAATGAAATATATCTTTAACAATAATGCTCGACTATTAATATCGCTTTCATAATATTTATTGAATAATAATTATTATTTAAGAATAATATCGTCATAATATATTGCTTCAAAATAAGGTTGTAATAATAATATAACGTTTATAATGATAATGATTATAATAATGTTCAAATAAAAGCATTGACCTAATAATGATAATGAAGAGACTAAAAATAACAACAAAAGTAATACTGTTGCTGTAAAAATAATGATATTTAATCTATGACGTCATTCTTATAATGAAATATGTATCTAACAATAATACTCGACTACTAATATCGCTTTTATAATCTAATCTTTTTATATATCTAATAATAATAATTGCTGTAAGAATAATATCGTTATAATTGTTGCTTTAACATGTGGCATATGGGAACATCAACAATCCCTATTTTAGTTGGAGTCCTAGTAGACTAATTGAAGGGATTCCTGGAAGTCCATGCCTCAAAGAGATACAAAAAATTATTCTGACAAGTACAGCCCACACTTTGCGAAAGGCTTTATCTATGTAATATTTTTTTTTTGTCAGTGGAAAATGTCATGATGCCATTTCGAACCTTAGGTCCCTTTCTGGAAAAAAGAAAAGTAACCGTCAGAAGAAATTAAAAATAATAATAATAATAATAATAATAATAATCTTAATAAAATAGACCGAACCTGTGGGTATATTCATTGATATTAAGATCAATTATTTATTAAAATTATTATAAATTAATATTATTCGTTTTCTACGTGGTTTACCATTTTTTGCAGGTTATTTAAAGCAAGATTTTTTAGATAATAAAATTATTCATCATTGAAAGCAACCTAACTATAATTCTAGCTGAGAGGTGAAAAGGAAGATTCATACCTAATCAGAATTTGATATAACAAAAACAAAAATTATAATGTAGATATAAAATGAGGGATTAATTCTATATTAGAATCAATATATGAACTGATCCCTCAATTTGTGGCCTTGGCAGTCTTTATTAATTCGTTTTCCAAAAAATTTAAATAAATCTAAAAGACATGCCTGCGTAAATAATTACTATTTCATTGAATGTTTTATTCGTTTTTACGGTTTGTCAACACTTTTTAGGGAATTTAAAGACAGAAAATATTTTTAGATTGCAATAATTTTTTTTTAGATAATAATGTTTTAGCGATACGTCTTACTAATTAACCCATAGCTGGGGGAGACGAGGTGAATTCATTACTTTCCTAAGGGTATTTAATACAACGAACCCAACTGGAATTAGAACTCGGATTAAATATTCCGAGCCATTTATTCATTACATTACTCGAACATCTAAGCTTACGGCACCTGGTATTCCCAAGAGGACTCCCACCTAGGTGCTAACAAGGCTGGGCATTGCTTAACTTCGGTGATTGTACGGGAACAGGTGTTTCAACATAATGTGGCCGTAAGACTGAAGAAGAAAGAAGAAGCAAAAGAAATGTGTCTCTACAGAAGGATGATGAGAATAACGTGGACTGAGTTATGATCCTGTTTTAGGGAAAATGGTCACAAAATGGACACATACTTAAAATCAGAGACAGATAGAAGTGAATATAATGAGGAAAGAATGCTTGGAGAATTTGACACTCAAGTGACATATTGAAGAGAGACTGGATAGCAAAGAAAGATCTACCTAACGACCTTGGGTAATTCTTTGGCTGAACAGGGATTCAGACAAAGTTTTATCACACTGTGAGAGCAAAAGATGCCTTCCAAAAGCTAAGCACAGTATTAAGAAACAAGAAGAAGCAAAGAAAAGAACACTGAACTGTTATGTAACATCTTTCTTTTTATGTGCCGTGTCCTTTCAGGATGTAGGCGATCATGACTCTCCACTTGCCTCATCCTTGTAGCTCTCAATAAGTTTAGTGCCTCTACAAACTTCTCCAGACGACGTTCTGCCATCCGCCGCCAGGTATGTCATGCGTTGCTTTCCCTTGTCTCTTTTTCACTCTATTCGCCCCACTTTCTCATTAACTGTCCCAGAAATTTCATCTGCCTCTTCTTTATGTTAAATATAAGCTTCCTCCTTGTTTGCATCCTCTCCAAGACCTCATCGTTGCTCACACGCTCGGTTCATATCCTTAGCATCCTTCTGTAGAAACACATCTCCACTGTCTCGAGCCTCTTCTTCATCTTTGAGGAGACCGTCCAACATTCGCTGCCGTATAGGAGGACAGATGTCACGTAGTAGCTCAGTACTCTTTTCTTTGTCACCAAAGAAATCCTCCTGTCTCGCAGTACTCTACCCAGATTTTGAAAGGCATTCTTGGCCATCACATTACGTCTTCGGATCTAAGCGTCGCATTTACCGTACTCCGTCGAAACACTTCCCAGATATTTAAAATTACGCATATGCTTGATTTTAGTATCCCCGAACTGCAAATCGCATTTCGGGTTCATCCTTTTACTGATGACCATTCATTCATCTTGTAGTTTAGGGTTAGTCCTTTCTTCTTGCTCTCCCTTGTTATCTTCTGTAGGAAGTTTTGTAATTTCTTTTCCGTGTCTGCGATCAGTACTGTGTCATCTGCGTATCTTATGTTAATAAGATTGTGGCCGCCAATGCTGAATCCCGGTAGGATCTCTAATTCTCTCAGAATTGCCTCGCTGTATTGGTTGAATAAGTCCGGTGAGACGACACATCCTTGCCTTATGCCCCTTTCTATTTTTGTATATTCGCTGAACTCATTCCCAATGCGCATACATATTCTAATATCTTTCCCAAATATATCAAGGTTGCTGAGCAGTTCCAGCAGATCATTATGGCGTATTTTATCGAACGCCTTTGCGTGTATATATATATATATATATATATATATATATATATATATATATATATATAACGTTTGCATTCTAACCATGAGACCGATGGTCGATTTGCTTTGTTATCGGAGTGGAGGAGTCGATCCCAGCTTGCGGCACCTTTGGAAAGTGCTTGAAAACCATACCACAGTTTGATCCAAGCCTTGTGAGCGAAATTGGGTAGAGGGAACCCTATTGGTGCTGTCGATAGCTTTGCTAGCACGAAGTCGCAAGTCATCGTGGCCGAGGGGTTGAGCGTGCTGGCCTTGTTCAAATTGTTGATCACGCTAGATAACACGCTCTTTCCCAGAAACTGTAACTAAGGTCTGCTCAGCATATTTGCAGTGTAAATCGCAGGTGGAGTCTGTCGGTGTTGAATGAACACAAATGCGCCTGAGCAAGCGTCTGCAACAGGGATTGGCTAGCCGCCCTAGTAGACGGGTATCCTCGAATACGAGTGGCCATATCTATATATGTCTTTTCTCTCTCTCTCTCTCTATATATATATATATATATATATATATATATATATATATATGGCTCTTCACAACTTCCCGTTCTGTTGTGGCTGTTAGTACGGTCTATCTTTTTTGTTTCTCATTGTCCAGCAGTCTGATATATATATATATATATATATATATATATATATATATATATATATATATATATGAGATTTTTACAGCTTCCCGTTTTTTTGTGGCTATATTTTTTTTCTCATTGTCCAGCAGTAAATATATATATATATATATATATATATATATATATATATATAAAATATATTGATTAAACGTTGATTCCAAGATTTGGATTTATGTTCAAACACATAAACAGAAATTTTCAATTTCGAGAATATTTAATATTGAACATGAGGAAAAATTAATTTTATTTTTAATTTAAATTGGAATGTTATGTTTTCTTTTTGAAGACGCGAATCTCAAATCAGAATGAATATTTAAAATTATGTAAAATTCTCCATTTTTTTTTTTTTAAATAAACCACATTACAACCAAAAAATGTTCATACGAGAAAACCTCACCTATTTTAAACCATATAAAAAAATGCAATCTCAAAGGAACATATTTCTTTTATATATATATATATATATATATATATATATATATATATATATATATATATATATATATATATATATATGATATATATATATATATATATATATATATATATATTAGTGAATGCAGGACAATGAGAAATAAAAGGACAGATATTACTACAGCTACAAAAGAACGGGAAGTGTGAAGAGCCATGAGCGCCCTGAAAGGACACAGATCATAGAAAAAGAAGTGCGATGCTGAGTTTTTACGGGGATACGTACAATTTTTTATTCGGCATGATTAAACGTGTGACCACATGATCAATCAGTCAGTGACATACGTGATTGGGTGATTATGTCTTTCAATTTGACTATTTTATGATTTTGCATGTAGGTTGAGTTTATTACTTAAAATATTTTCTGCGAAAAAAATAAAATATATATTTGCGAAAAAAGTGAATTTAACGAACCCGATAAGAATTAGACCTTGTCCTTCATTCCTTTATTTATTAAAACCACTACGCACATTATCCCGCATTGCAACAACAAAAGATCTGCCAAGAAATGTGAAACCGGACGTAAATTTAGAGTAGACTAGCAGTAGCCCGGGGATGTAACAGTAAGAGATAGATCAAGTATCGACCATCATAAAGACTGATAAATAAAATTGACAAAGATTATTGTTTAAGGTTGACGGACACGCATGTCTTAATTAGTTTTTTTTTTACGAATTGGTCAAACACAAGCTCAAACAAAAACATTGTTTTCAATCGTTATGAGTCTACCGATTGAATATAATTTTATTATAAACAATTGTTTTGTAAATGGAATTGTTAAAGCATTCTGAATGTAAAAACAAAGAAAAAAGTGTGCAAGACAATAAGAAACACTACCTGTCAAAAACAAAAGTGAAGTTTTGTTGAAATCGGTTGAAAAATGTAGGAAATCCGATCCCATATATAAATGAACAAAGACACATACTCACAAACAACCTGGGTTTTATAATAAGTATAACTCGATATGAGTTGTCCCCCTTTCATTCTCGACAGCGATGCCTCTTAATCGTGGTTTCAAATTGATTTCGTGCAAAAACAATTGTGTTTTTCTAATTTGGGGCGCTGTCAGAACCGCCGCAAGGTAATTTTACGTAGTCCTGTGAAGTTTTGTCGAAATCGGTTGAAAAATGTAGGAAATCCGATCCAATATGTAAACGAACACACACACACACACACACACACACACACACACACACAACAACCTGGGTTTTATAACAAGTATGATGATGAAGCAATTAAAACACTTTCTATTCATTTTAATTAAAGTATTATTTTTCTTATGGTCTGAAGCTAAAGCCAGTTTTCTTATGGTCTAATAAGGTGAGCAGCTAATGCAATTGTGTTGTAAAATATGACTTTTTCTGTTTGCATAAACTTTTATTTACATTCTTCGAGGTTTCACCAATGTATTCTTTGCGGCAATGATTACAGGTAATAAACTAAATTCATACTTTAAGTTTTGGTGTATTATTAGTCTGTCCTGCTATTCAATCCATTGTTGGAGGAAAGCAGATAAGGATAGATAGATATCCTCCTGTTATTCAACCAATTGTTTTGGGGGGCAAAGATGGATTCATACATATCTTACGGTTATTTAACCTATTTGGGGGGGCAGAGATGGATTCATACATTTCCTAATCTTATTCAACACAGTGGTGGGGCCTGGAAGGATTTATATATTTTTCTAATGATAAGTGATTGTAAAGAACCCGACTGGAATTCGAACTCGGCTCTCCGAACTTTCATTCCGTGCCGTTATTCATTACACTAGAACGCATGATAACTAATCACAGTTAATGAATATATTTATGGTTTGTTGGATTCGGTTGGTTAATCTAGTGACACATCAACGCTTATTGGTTTATTTAATGTTGAATATAAGTTTATTAATTAACGATTTAACAGTAAATGAAACACAAGGCCCAACGTCGGGAAAGGAGAAGGCTGATCAGATCATTCCTCTCTTTTTAACCCAGATAGTCAAAATCACTGAACCATTCAAATGAATATATTCCCTTTCTCCAAAGATTCTCATTTACACTTTACAGTCATAATATATATACCATCAGGCAACATTTCCCGTATGATGTTCCAATTAGTCCCACACGTACAATTTTTGTGTGCGGGATGATGATAATAACTTTTAAAAAATATTCCCCTATGCATATTTATAACGAAACGGAAAATATTTACAAGAAACAAAAGAAAATGTGATTGTCAGTGTTAGAAACTCGTCGTCAAATTCTAATCATGGTCAGAAATAAAAGCTAACGCGTCGAAAAAGAAATGTACTGGATTAAACAGTAAATGAATCATTCGCATAAACACACACTTATCTAAAAGGCTATAACAAATTGTCATATAGAAAGAAAATGAGGACTACTAACACCGGGGTTCGAACGTGACACTCTAGACTTATGAATATGTTTTACGCCAGGTGTATAAATGACGGTGTCAGGCAAGTTACTGGAGTGGTCTATGAGTTGACGAGGG